TTATAACAACATGACAAAGACTATGTAATAAAACCATGTATTTTTCTTCAATACCTCATCAACCTTACGTCTTGCTGTGTCAAACGTGATGTTGAATAGTATTTTCAGAATTTCCATGGCTAGTTCTATTTGTTGCCGGCTCAGAGGGGGTAGTTCTTCAGGTGGGATGTTCTCTAACCCTGCTCTGGCCGTCTCCAATGTGTCTGGCCAACACAGGCCCAGTGTCACATCCAACTGGTTGCCTAGAACACACAGGAGGAGAAGCTGCAAACTTATTCTCTTTGTCAATATAAAAACTTGTCAATATATGTGCAATGATTTTTCATTTGTCTTGCTATTGCTTTATAAAAATCCTAGGTATTACAGACGTTGGGGACCTGCAAGGTGAGTTACATTGCACCATTGATTACCTTGAAGACTGGTAACCTAGAGATAATGATGGTCACTAGGTCAGTAGTTACAGAGGGAAGATGTGTCCACGTAATATTGGTTACACATAAAAATCAGTTACCTAGCAGACTGATCCCATGAAGCTCCTGTGCTAGCTGTGCCCTTACGTCCACCCTGAGGGCAGTCAGCAGAAAGGTGAGGCGCAAGTCAAAGAACCGCACCTGGACAGAGAGAGCAGACACATGGGCACAATCTCACTGTCTGTCTTCAGAGAGGGAAGGATACTGAACCTCAGTGCTTGTTTGGTACCAGCTGGAGGGTATCTAGTGCACAGAGTATCATAAATGTAGTATTCTGTGTAGTGTGACAGATATTTTTCATAAACAGCAGTGAAGCTTCAAACAACCTGGCAGTTCATGCAGAGACACACAAAACCATAGAATTAGTGCACTATTATTAAGACCTCTTGTCTTGAGGGCTACAGTTGTCAACAGTCACCATGAAAACATCTAGGTAACTGACATCCATACCTCGTGGTTCCAGGTGGGATCATGACACTGCTTCAGCCTCTCCGACACGCCCTTTATCAGCTGCAGATCAGCTGCAATTACCTGCCAATCACGCATCCAAGTACATGCTTTAGGTTGTCACCGACACAATCTGAAGTTTTCATGTAAATGTGCAAAGAGAAATGCAGCACACTGACCTGTCCCGTCTCGTTGTGTAGCAGGATGTTACATATGGACTTGAGAGCCTCGACAATCACTTCCTGGTCAGGACTCTCTGACGGAGGGGAGCCTCCCTTTATCAACTCACTCGATACTTCCTCTGCATCTTCCTCCTCACCCTCGACTAGAAAAAATGAATGGCAAAGTCCAGTAGCGTAGCAGAGACATCCTGTATTTAGACTTTGTTAAGCTGAAATGTTCATATGAAGATTTGAAGAACAGATGATAAACTAAGCTTGTGGAAGAGTCAGTACTTAATGTTCTGTTTCATCTTATCGATTTTTTTGGTTTAGTAATTCCAGAACAAATTTATAGAGTAGGGGCTACTGTCCTGCACATAAATCACACTCTGGGTCCTGTGTTATACCTTCTACACAAACTAGAGGGAGCTGTGAACAACACAGGCAGGATCAGAGCCCAATGTACAATTCCATTAGTTATGTGCAAAGAAATCTGTTCAAAGAAAGAGTTGAAGCTTAAAAAAACCTTTTTCCTTCTATGATGAGTCAAAATGTTTGCTGGGAGTAGTCTGTTGCAAATAAAGGAGACTGAATGTATTTTTGACCTTGAGATAATGCATATTGTGATTTGACACAAATAAGACAAAAAAGGTTTATTTAAGAAATTAATTAATTTGAATGATATAATTGATCAAAGGATTGTAGGTTGTATTAGTAAGATGATACAAAAACAAAAAGGATTGATGTATTACTGTTATTTAGTTTTTTGGAAATATTGGAAGTTTAGTAAGCAAGGAGAAACAATACAATAGCTACACCACAACAGAAATCTTTCAAAAAAAGATGTGGTTGACAGCAGGGCTTACCTTGGCCCTCATTCAGTTTGCAGTGGCCATGTGTGGCAGTGCTGGCCACAGCGATGCCAGCGTAGCGGGCAAGAGTAGACATGGCAGAGCGATTGATGAAGGGGTCCAGGCAGTCTTTGTCTCTGGTCAGGATGCGAAGCGTTTCTAGACATGCCAGCTGACAAGACGGCTGCAACTCCCTACTGAGGAAACAGAGCACCAACTCCCCCAGATGCTGGGACACACAACAAATACATCAAGTCAGACGTGTATTCATGGAAGCACAGAATGGCCATAAAGGTCATTAAACATAGCAGTTTCACTCATACAATGCAATGAATGCTGTACTGAAGCTGCTGCTTGTCTCAATATTTTACACAAAGTATATTGAGTATTTTCCACGGCTGAGATGCCCAACAAGTAGCACAAGTAGTCATGACTCTACCATTAAAGGAAATTCAAAAGTTTAAAGTCTTATGTCTCTTGGCTAATGAGGTGAGTGGCAGATAATCCTGGCTCTGATAAATGCGTCTGCTAAGCTCATCTTGCTAATATCTTCCTACAGTCTATGTGCAGGTGTATGCTCCGTGTGTGCACGTTTGTTGGATAAAGAAAGCACGCAATGACACATAAGCTGCTGTTGACCTATGTCAAACCCTGAACTCTGAACTAACTTACTTTTCTTTTTTCCTATGGACCACAGTCTTAATCATATGCTCTCTATAGCCAAACTGAACAACAACAACAAGGTTACATTTTTGAAGCTGTTGCTTTGCTGCTGTGTCAGAGACCGGATGAGTCGCTTCCTTATTTGTGGTTTGTATTTATATAGCACTTTTCCTAGTCTTGATGACCACTCAAGGCGCTTTACAGTTTTTCGCCATTCACCAATTCACACACACATTCCTACAGTGCATCTATGGGCAGCACTTTTCTATGGAAGGGCAGTTTTCTATCCCCTCAGCCACAGAGGAATTAGACTCAAAACAGTAAATGTTTGTATGTGTGTTAAATAACCAAGCAATTTGAACCCAGGTAAAACTTTATGAAGTTTATTTTACAAATGGACACATCACGACCTGAATAAATATGAATGTGTGTGTTTACTATTATTTTTAGATTAACTTCAACTTCATCGATCTGATCATTTGTTGCTTTTGTTGTCTTATTTTATTTTATTTTATTTTATTCTATTTTATTTTATTCAATTTCTTATATATTGTTGTTTTTTATATTGTTGTTTTATGTACATAAGTAGTGCACCAATGACACCAAGGCAATTTCCTGTATGTGCAAACATACCTGGCAAATAAAAGAATTCTGATTCTGATTCTGATTCTCCTCCAGTAGAGTTTTGTTTTGCTGTAGAACCCCATGAACCCCTGCACTGACTGTTTTCCCTGAAGCTGCTTGCTAAATCTACCACTTAGCAAGTAGATTTAAACCATATGTAAGCTATAGTCTGTTGTTGGTACATGTATTTCTTCAAAAGGAGAGTTTGTCCATCGAGAAAGTCTTTCTTTTCCCCCTTAAAATTAAACACAAAGTCAACAGAAGCTCATAAACACAGATAAAATAAATGTCACAAAAGTTATTTGTTAAAACATGAAGCCTTTCCAGAGCAAAAACGGTTCAATCTGTGATGTTGAAAAATACTAACATCTGTGTGTAAATCTGTTTTACATGTATGCATGTGTATATCTGTTTGCATGTTTTCAAATTGCTTGGTATTTGTGTTTTTGGATTGGAACACATTTGCAAGTACCCCAAATTATGTACAAAATGTACATTATTTTTCATTTGTAGATTGTGTAACACACATTTGTGGCCATTTTGAGTGTCATTTTTCTCCATAGGTACTTGGCAATTTCACAACTAAGTAGATTCATTGTTTAGTGCTCTAAACTACCAGTTAATCACCTTAATCAGTTCAGTGGTCAATTTTCATCAGAACAGAATGGATACTGAGTGGGATAGATTAGTATAAGGATGTGAATGATATTCAACCACTCATATTTGTGCTAATAGATATGATCTGTTATCTTCTAGTCTGCTGTTGTGAGAGATTCCATAATGTGCTTTTATTCTGGTTTGATAATTTATATTAATCATTGACCTTCTGAACTGATTAAGAGCAAAGCAAACTGATCTGATGTGTACATCTACTGACTAACACCCACAGTTGGATTTAGTTTGATAACGTCAATATTAAAAGGAAAATGTTACACCCTCTTGGGAACATAAATGTACTTCAACCATTCTGTTTATTAAGGACCATGTCCTCATCAATTTTGAGGGAGTCATGAGGCAGTATTTTTGGTTAGTCCTCTGCATGTGTGCTTTTCTTAACCACCCTCTTTGTGTTGAGATGGAGGTCTGGCTCCAATAGTTCCCTTCTTTCACTGACACCTCCATGTCTTTCTATACACCTCCATTTAGTTGCTGGTTATAGTATTAGGTCGACATGTATAGTCATTGTGTACCACTCAGTGGTTAGGTTGAACTGAGGGTATGAACCATCATTTTTTATTGATTGTGACTGAATCAGATTTTAGTTGTGGAACCACCCTCACTGAGAGTCACTCTGCCACTGGAGAGCTTTGATCCCAAAAAATTCCTGTAAGACCACAAAATCGAAACATGGAACACTAACCATAGAAACCATTCATATTGCCCTAGTTTTCAAGGGAACTTTCAGTTCAGTTTTACAGCTTACAGTTCAAACTGGCACCAAAACCTTTGGATGCTTTAAGTTTCAATCTCACGCATGTCTGGTGGAACAACTTCACTCTTATTTCAGTCTTATCAGGCCACGTTACCGCTCACGTGTTAGGCATGGTTATGCTGTCCAAATGGATGCAGTGAAAAGCATCAGCATCCTAGTCGTGAGAGAATATGGTGTGTCACTGTGGCTGGGCTGACACTCATAATTTGATACCTTTAAACTAAAGTGAAATGAAAAAAGTCAAATACATTGATATTATTCCCATTAGCAGCCAACTCTACAACTGACAGAAGGTTATCTGGGTATGTCAGATGTCAGCTGTATTGGTTCATTGGTCCATTAGGTTCTTAAATGTCAAATGATGCCAGTGCTATCTGACTTCACCAATTTAATAAATAGTATATGTATATGTGTGTTAGCTGTCAGTAAAGTTACATTACACTGCAGAGCCTCAGAAATAACCTGAAACAAATACACAAGTTTCTCTGTCACCTTGTTTGAACACCACTCTCTCTCTCTTTGAAAGTAGAAGCATAAACATGTTAGTTATTCCATATTCATACCTTCTGTAAAACCCCTTCCTAAAGCACCAGGAATGCACACACAAGGAGAGACAGATGACACAGAGGAGGAGAGAGCAAGATTAAATAACCATGTGTTCTTTTACTGGTGCCATCAAGTTAGACATTTTATAACACATTGTACTGACTTCAAAGCTCTTAAGAGTTTATGCAAGTTACCAACATCAAGTAGGTGTACAGGCATACCTCTCTTTCGTGCTCCTTTTCCCTGCTGAATGTAAAGCACTGGTTCATCTGAAGAGAAGCCACAAAGAAAAGTCAGAGGTAGAGGATGAGTCAGAGGAGGAAGAGACAAGAGAAAGAGAAGAGTTCAGAAGAGCAAGAGAGGGAAAGGCAGGGGGAGAAAAACAAAACATAAACATGTATTATTCACATGTACTATCCAATCAACAGTCAGCATTAGTGTCCTTTAACCATGTCCACCATCCAACTCTGATATTCAGTCACTGAAAATTGGCTTCTTGGTTCTCCACTGAAATGTTTACCAAGGAATTTTCAAACTAATGTTTTTTTTAAAAATAAAGCAGCAGCATTAAGCAGTTCTAAAACTACATCTTTTTTTTTTTTTTTTTTGGTGATTGCTGTTGTTCAGCTTTTACAGTATTAATGACCTCTCAAAACTCTTTAAAGTGTAGTTATGCCATTCACACACACATTAAGTACATACTTAGATGCACATACAGTGCATCTAAGTCAGTCACACTCTGCCAGCACAGCCATCAGGGGCAATTTAGGGTTCAGTGTCAGGCCGAGGGACAATTCGACCCACTGACCTTATGGTTAGAGGATGATTTGATCTACGTCCTGAGTGACAGCTGCCCTAAGGGGAGCAGTAGGGGTAGTATGTAGTTTAAAGCTTTTCTATCTCTTACAATTAATGAGGTATTATGATGAATGGTTTGTATTTAAATAACGTTTTCCTAGTCTTGATGACCACTCAAAGCACTTTACAGTACAGTTTATTGCCATTAACCAATTCACACACACATTCATACAGTGCATCTGTAGGAAGCACTTTTTCCATGAGGGATTTGGGGTTCAGTCTCTTGCCCCAGGACACTTCAACATGCAGATGGGGAAGACTATGATCAAACTGCCAACCTTCTGGTTAGAGGACGACCGCTCTACCCCCTCAGCCTCAGGTGCATGCTAGCATTTTGAGTGGTGTTTGTGAGAAGTAAATATCTGCAAAATGCTCCACTATGTTAGACTCGCTTTGTCTGTCTGCTGTTTGGTGCTGAGCAAATAGTTGTAGGTGTGTTTATCTGAGCTTTTTCAGCTGATGCATTTTTCTCAAGCTGCAAAACCTCAACAATGACATAAAAGAGACTAAAAAAACTTTTAGAACAGAGGGCAACTGAAGACGAGAGAAATTTCTTTGACTTGATCCACTGTTGATGTAAGGCAGGGGAAGGGGAATCTTTTTCCAATCAACAGGCCATTTCAATGTTTTTAATTATTCAAGGGCCCTTTCAGTGAAACTGAGATTCAATCTGACACATACACAACAACATTTTATATACGCCTTCTGATGTAAGGACTGTTTCTGAAAAGTTGGGAAAAGGTTTTTAACATTTATGCTAAAACCGGAAGGTCAGGGTTCAATCCCAGTCTTCCCAATCTGCATGCCAAAATGCCCTTGGGCAAAAACACTGTGTAGATGTGTGTGTGTGAATGGGCTTTAAGAGGTCATCAAGACTAGAAAAGTCCTCTATAAATACAGACCTTCTACCATTTAAAGAAATCCTTAAAGATAAAACCAAATGAAATAAATAAATAAAATTAACCAGTGCAGGCAAACAGCAGAGCATAGTGAGGAAAGGATATGGCAGATTGTGCACCTCTCCTGTAACACTAAGCTCCTCTTTGGTAGAGTAGGATTTGACTGGGCCGTAGAAGTCTCTATTTGTGCATCAGAGAACATAATCCTATTGCCTTTGAGATCAACTCCCACACAGCTAAAAGCTCTGCCACAGAGAGAGCCATGTAGCACTGTTCACTTGGGGTTAGCAAACAGCATTTTGTGAAGCTGGAGGGCATTAGACTCTTGGGAAGCAGTTGCTATTTAGCAGACATAGTGAAGTTAATCAGATGCACATTAATCGAACCAACCAATTCGTTTTCATCCTCAGAGTCTTTTGTCTTGAAAAACACAAAAACACCACATAAAGCCTTGTCCTCGTTCCTGCCCCTGATGCTAGGCAGGACCAGGACAGTTGGTGAGAGTCACAGATGTCGTTATTCTGTCAGTGACATTCTTAATTCTGAATGTTTTATGTGTTTTATTTGTTGTGGTGATTGTAACTATGGCCCATGATTAAACCTTTACTAATTTTTAATAGTTTTAATAGTTTATTTTTTATTGATGTGAATCCCTTGGTGACTTTTTCTCTGTGAAAGGTATTATACAACTACTCTTCACTACTTTTTTTTCTTGACACTCACCATGATGCTTGTCAGTGGTGACACACAACACGATGTGTGTGTCTTTCACTCTGCCTTTGAATGGATGGTTATGACGTGGGAAGTCCTGTGCACAGTGTGTTTGGTGTTCAGGTGGTTGTGAGAATGCTGCTTGTTAATGGCCACATTAACACTGATGTTACTGTTTTATGCTATTTTTTTCATTTATCTCAATAAAAAATAAATAGCTGTCATGGTAAATTTCGTATTTCTAACTTTCTTTTTTGTTTTATGAATAGTTTTGTATATAATCAATTCATAGGCAGGTGATCCCCCTCCACCTATACTCTCAAAATCCTTCAATGAAATCTAATGCTGTTGGGAATGTACCTAAAATATAGTGTTCACATGTTTTCTGTTACTCCCCAACACTCTATGCCAATGCATCATTTGCAAGTTGCCAAAACCATATTAAAGCAGCTTCAAAACTGATTTCTGTAGGCAACAGGAAATATGAAGCTTCATCTTGAAATAAATACATCCAAATCAAGTTGAGCAAAGGTGATACAATGAACACTTTAGGATTTCAAGCAATAATAATAATGAGGATAATGTGAGCATCATGACCTTAACTGAACATGTCTTCTTTTAGCTAAACCCATAAAGCGTGGACAGAAGCTGTTTATGTAAAACCGACAACATGTACATCACATTAATGCAAACATTTATGATTGACTTGATGTTTGGATGCAGAGATTCAGCTGGGCTCGTGTTTACCTCCGTGTTGTAGCTCTGTAGAGCAGTAAGAGCTGTGTCCTGCTCTCCCGTTTCCATCTGCTCTATGATGGCACTTAAATCCATTTTCATCGCCATAGAGCTGAGGCTTCCTCCTGGATTCACGCTCAGAGCACAAGTGCGTGTGTTTGTCTCAGTGTGTGTGTACAAGATGACTGCATGATGCCTGGATCCCTGCCATAGAGAGGGGGGAGGGGGGAGAGAGTGTGTGA